GATACACATATATCACTGTGGTATGATTCTTTTAATTCTTTTGGATAGGGCTGGGGATTTAGCTCAGTGGTTCCACAACCTGCGTCAAAAGTGCAAGGACCTGAGTTCTATCCCCAGTAAAAAAAAAAAAAAAAAAAAAAAAGTAGTGGAAAAAAAAATCTTTTGGAAAGATACCCAGCAGAGGAATAGCTGGGTCAAATGGGACCGCTAATCCTAGTTTTTTTAGTTATCTCCATATTGATTTCCACAGTGGTTGTACCAGTCTGCACTCCAACCAACAATGGAAAAGGGTTCCTTTCTCCCCACAACCCTGCCATCATTTGTTATTGGTTGATTTCTTGATAGCAGCCATTCTTTCTGGGGTGAGGAGGAATCTCAGTGTTGTTTTCATCTGCATCTCTTGAATAAGCAGTGATGTTGAACATCTGTTCATATATTTATTTGCTGCTTTTACTTGTTTGTCTGAGAAAGTTCTGTTCATTTCAGATGCCTATTTTTGAATTGAGTCTTTATATTTGGGGGATCTGATTTTTTTGAGTTCTTTATATATTCTAGATAGTAGACCTTTGTCTGAGGAACAGCTGGTAAAAAATATTTCCCACATTATAGGCTGTCTCTTTGTTTTGGGGGTTTTTTGTTGTTGTTTTTGTTCTGTGGGTTGTTTTTTTGTTTGTTTGTTTTGGGGTTGGTTTTTTTTGGTGGTTCTTTTTTTTTTTTTTTTTTGGTTTTTGAGACAGGATCTCACTATGTAGTTGAGACTGATCTGGAATTCACTATGTAGCCCAGGCTGGTCTCAAACTCACAGCGATCCTCCTGCCTCAGCCTCCCGAGTGCTGGGATTACAGGAGTGCACCACCCACATCTGGCTGTTGGTGGTTTCTCTTGCAGTGCAAAAGCTTTTTAATAAGATGAGATCCCAGCTGTTGATTCTTACTAGTTCCTGTGCTATACTGAGAATATGAGCATAAAGTCTTCTCCTATGCCAATGTTGAGACAGTCTTCCTAAATCACTAAATTGCCCAGGCTAGCTTGAACTTGCCATCAACCTGCCTCAGCCCCCAAGACTACTGGGATTATAGGCAGGGATCACAACACCCAGCTACATCCCTATACTTTTGTGTATGCCATACCCTTTTGCCCAGCCTCACTCTTGGCCATCCTCCAAAACCATGTCCCACCTTCTCCACAGCCATTTATGATCACTCCAGCCCATTTTTATGGCACCTGTCTAAATATTCTCTCCTGAAAGTGTGGTCTGCAGGCCAGTAGCATCAACATCATCTGGGTGCTTGACAAAAATGTAGGCTCTGAAGTCCCACCAGGCCCTACTGAGTCAAAACATGCATTTGAACAAGATCCCAAGGATTTGTATGGATATTAAAGTGTGAGAAGCACTGGCTTATACTTCTTCCCAGCAGAGTCTTGGTTTCTCTCTATTTTTCTACATGTGGATAAAGGTGAGTACAAATGGAATGGGATAGAGAATCACCCCTTCCAGTTACTCACTTCACAGCCAGTTGGCCTCTTCCAAAGCAGAGGCAGCACCAACTTCAAGTCCCTGGTGGTAGTGCTCTAGCAAGCTTTTACAGCTGTCCTGGGACACTGGGCAAGGCTCTAATTGCCAGTCTATTTTATTTTTTTGGTGCCAGGGATCTAACTCTGGTCCTTGCACTTGTGAAGCAGGTGGTGGCACCACTGAGCTAAATCCCCGGCCCTTCTAATTGTCAATCTATACCTACAGGATTGTGCCACCCTGATGGCCAATCCCTATTTGAGAACCAAGAAAACATCAGGGAATTTCCTCAGTGCTACAGAGGAGACCACTCTAAGCATCAAGCAACTCATCTCCAAGTTGTTCCTTCAACCACTACCCATGCCTCTTCCTATTCTCTTGTATAAATACCAAAAGCCCACACTTTCCCTGAGAAATCAAACCTAAAACCTTAACTGAACCTTGAATCAAATCTAATTAGACCAGAGTGCTCCCAAGTTGGGCACTTCTAGCTTATAATTAAGTATTGGGAGACAGTCATCTCACACCCCATCCTCTAGAGTTCAGTACCTGTATGGTCCCATTTACTGCTCAGATCAGCAGATATGTGAAAGCCAAATTTTCTGTAGAATCTCCAGTGCATTTAAAATCTGGAAGTGATAGTAGGCTGAGCATTCCATGAGGTTGACCACCTCACTTCAGAGCCCACAGGTCACAGCTGCTGGTGTAAACAGCCTCCAACAGCCTCAATACCACCTACCTCTCTCCTAAAAGTGGTGCACACAGACAACTTCCCCAATACCTGCTACAGAGCTGACCTACAGAGAAAAAACTTCTCTCCCTGACTTGCATGAGCTGTGAGATGTGTGACCTGGGGATCCTCCTATTCCAAACAAGGGAAGTTTTAAAACCCACAAACACATCTGGAAGCTGACAGAGAAGGTGATGCAACACCTCAATGGCTGAAGGCAGAGGTGTAAGGCTACTGGGTGACTCCAGCAGGGAACACTGCTCTGAGCCAACTGGTGGGGGCGGGAGAGGGCCAGGCCCAAACCCCTGGAAGGAAAGCTGAACAGAAGGGAGTTGCTCCCAGAGACTTTCCTCTGTGTAGGTTGCACAAGAGGCACAGGGGAATATTCTGTAGGGAGCATTCAGGGAAGGGGGCCTGCACTGCCTCAGCAGAGTCCTGTCATCTTGCAAAACTCAGCTCACCTCCCATGTAAAATAGTCCTACATTCTTTTCTTCACAGCCAGCTCATGGTACTTGCTCTTTCTTGCAGTCAACTTTCTTTCCTACACAGTCAGTGCCCTTTCTAAGGACAAACTAGCTATGACTTTTTCTGCAATATCCTTTGACAACTATCAGTGATGACATCTGACAGATTTTTGCAGGACCAAAGATACAAACTGATGGCCTGCTAACTGAATCTGGCCCATGGCTTAACATATTTTGACATACAAAGTGCTGCTTAAATACGTGAACTATAGTCAGGCATGGTGGTGCACACCTGTAATCCCAACACATGGTAGGCTGAGGTAGGAGGATCAACGTGAATTCAAAGCCAGCCTGAACTACACAGCAAGACCCTGTCTCAAAAAAATGTGAACTAAAAAAAAAGTGAACTAGATTCCAACATCTTAAGATCAGGTATCTGGCTTCTCTTTCAAGTAGAATGGGGGCTGTGGATACATGGGATCCTCACTGTCTGTTGGGGACCAGCCATAACATGTATAGATTGACAGGGGCAGCCAGATGTGGTGGCGCACACCTGTAATCCCAGCACTCAGGAGGCTGAGGCAGGAGGATCACTGTGAGTTCGAGACCAGCCTGGGCTACGTAGTGTGTTCCAGGTCAGTCTCAACTACATAGTGAGACCCTGTCTCGAAAAACGTGTGCCTGCCTCGCAAGTCCAAAGGTCTGAGTTCGCTCCTCGACACCAAGAAAAAAAAAAAAAAAAAAAAAAGACTGACAGGGTCCAGGAAACAGGCCCTGCAGTCCCCAGACTGATGTTAACTTGCCTCAGGAATACAGAAGTATGCAAAAGACTGCAGACCTTCTGGCTGCATGGGAAAGCCATAATCATAGCTCTCCTAAGGCAAGATAAAATCTACTGCCATAAAATAAAATGCAGGTTGGGCTGGGGATTTAGCTCAGTGGTGCTGCCGCCTGCCTCACAAGTGCAAGGACCCAAGTTCAATCCCCACTATCAAAAAATAAATAATTAAACACAAAATCAAATAATAAAATAAAATGCAGACATCCAGGTATAGGGAAGGACCTTAACTCATTCCCTTTGAGATGCTAAACTTGTTCCCTATGGTACTACCCTTACTGCACTCTGTTCCTGGAATAGTATACTATCCTCTCCCCTACACGTCTGGCTAAATAATAAAAGCAGGTTCACCTGGAGTTCTTTGAGCCTATCCACCAGAGGCAGATTCCTCCTGGTCCCCCCTTGTATATTAAGTATTATCTCTGTCTCTTTTTTTTTTATTCCCCATCGTCCTCCCTTTAGGTATTCAGGGAGTCTGATCAGCTCCCAACAACTGTCACCTTGTAAAACTACACAGAAGAGAAGCAACTGCTGCCTGAAATGAGGCATATTTACTCTAGCTTACCCAGAAGCCCATAGAGAAGATGCTGGTAAGGTCCTGTCCATATCCCCTCAGCCCACCTCTGAGCTCACTTGCAGCTGCCATGCTTGGTCACAGCTTCCCACCACTAAGGACTACAGCTCCCTGATTCTCTGCCTAAGGATTTTTTCTGGTACTAACTGGCATTCAGGATAGCTCAGAAACATCAGAGATTTTTTTTTTTCCAAGTACTGGGGATTGAACTCAGGGCCTTGTGCATCCTAAGCAAGCACCCTAAACTGATCTACATTCCCCCAGCACCAGACATTTAATGTCCCCAAAGAAATTCTTAACCTATGAGAGTCAGTGCGCTGAAAAACAAACAAACAAACAAAAAGCACAGTTCCCTGGCCTTTGGTTAAAATAATTCTAAGGAATGTGCCATGTGATTACTCACAAGATGCCCAAAAGGAGTGAGTTCCAGAAGGGCAATCCACTTCAAATACCTGTTCCTGGCTTTCTCCTTTTCCTGCTTCACTTTCCCCAATCCTTTTCTTGCTGTTACTAGAATCACTGCCAACATAAATTATCTGCTTCCAAGTCCTTGTCTCAGGGCTCACTTTCAAGAGAACCCAAACTAAGACACTGTTAGTCTGTCTTTTTTTTTTTGGTACCAGGGATGGAACTTGGGCCCTTGCGCTTGCCAGGCAGGTGGCAGCTAAATCCCCAGCCCCACCTCTTTTTTGGTACTGGTGATCAAACGCATGACCTTGCACTTGTGACACAGGCACAGTGTCACTGAGCTAAATCCCTCACCCTTCTCTTTGTCACTTTTATATCACTCACCTAGCTCTCAGAGCATATCCATCTGAGAGCTGTTGGTTATATACCCTACCTCCCCAACATCCCTGGGGCAGTGGCAAAGTAGACTTACCTCCCCCAAGTAACTGTACTTGCCCCTGAGGATCTGCCGGTACAGCCGGGTGCGGTTGTCATCCTCAAAGGGCATGGTACCACTGAGCAAGATGTAGGCAATGACACCCAGCGCCCACATGTCCACAGAGTTGGTGTAGGGCTTGCGGACCAGGACCTCAGGAGCAATGTACTCAGGTGTGCCACAGGTAGTCTTCATGAGGCAGTCATCACCCTTCTTCCGGGCGCTGGCCAAGCCAAAGTCAGTGATGATGATCTTAGAGTCAGTGCCTGGGTGGTAGTAGAGCAGATTCTCAGGCTTGAGGTCACGGTGTGTAATACCTAGTGCATGCAGATACCGGACACCATCCAGCACCATCTGCAGCACCCTTGTGGCATCACGCTCAGTGAAGGAACCCTTAGCAATGATGCGGTCGAAGAGCTCACCACCAGTAGCTAGCTCCATCACCATGTATACACGCTCCTGGGTTTCAAACACTTCCACCAGCTGGATGATGTTGGCATGGCGTACCCGGCGCAGCACACGAAGCTCAGACTCACACACCTCCCGTCCCTCTCGATACTTGGTTTCAATCATCTTGATGGCATATGGCTGGCGGGTTGCCCGGTGTTCCACTCGTACCACTCGGCTAAAGCTGCCTCGACCAATCAGAGCCTTGATGTCATACTTAGCTGTCACACGTGGGTCAAACTTGGCCCTGTATTTTGCCACCCTGGCCCTTCGTGGTGGTTCTGAAGGAGGCTCTGTGTGGCCAGTAGCAGGGACACCAGTGCCAAGGGGTGAATATTGACTAGCAGCTGGAAACGCAGCCTTGAGAGGGCTAACACTGTCCACCTCTGTGATGAAGTGCTTGTACACATCGTTCTTAGTGCCACTGAAGGGTTCCACCTTCTTGACCAGATCCAGCTGGACATCCTTGGGTGGCTCAGGAAGGACCTTGCTTGTCCCACAGCCCATCACGGACAGGGGGGCATCCTCTCCAGTGAAGCTGGCAGGACCTGCTCTGCAGGCAGTGCCACATCTACACCTATCCAGACAGAAGAGGGAAAGTCAGCATAACTGAGGAATCCTGAGAAGCCATCTCTCCCCACCCTCCAGACTAAGTCCATTTAAGACAACACCTGGCCCTAATATGGTTCCCTAGAAAGATGACTTTAGCCCCTAAGCACTGAGTCCAGGCTCAATGGAGGGTGTAGATGACACCTGGGTCTGAGCTTTACAGCCATGGCTTATATATCCCTGGGTCTCAGTCTCATAGTACTTGTCCAACCTGACAGAGAGGTGGAACATGTACCAGGCTCAGTTGTTACCTCCACCTTTCTCTCCTCTGCCTGGGTCCCTTCTCCTAGCTGAAGTCTCCTATTTCATAAATGTTAAAAATCACCCTTATTATTATTCTGACTCATCTTTTCTGAAATGGGAGCGTGGGGTATTGGAGGCCTCCTCCAACAGCATCATTCATCAGGTCCCAGAAAGCTGCTTCTCCAGGCCTCCCTCTTGGAGAACTTTCCCAGTCCTCTTGCAGGGGTTGGTCCCCCGTGCAACATACATCAAACCATTACCCTGCTCTCTGCCTTCACCTCACTCTTTCCCAGATAGTTTCAACTGCTTTGCTCATGCATAACTCTCCATGAGTGTTGAACAGCCTGTTCAGGGCTCTCTCCATTCCCTAGGTCACCAGCAGCTGCAATCCTATGCAAGGGCCAGAGTTAGCTAAAATTTATCCCAGTGAACTTAGGACCACAAGTCTCAGCACACTACCACCAGGTAGCTACAAAACTAGCCTAGACTTCATTGAAAGGCATCAGAGGAAAACACCAGCACTTCTAGCTCAATTGAACACAGGCTATAGATCAGGTCACTCTGCTTCCTTGGCGTGAGGATCCAGGAACTCTCCCCATTTATTTCCCAGACAGAGACATTTGGCTATTAACACTTGGAAGGGTGGGTAGGATGAGGTGCTGAAGTTACTGCTTTCTAGAGGTTACTGACTTTCTACCTGGACTGCCATCTCTAAGTCTATCTGAGGGCCCCATAGGATAAAGAGAGCTGAGAATTTCCTACTAATTATAACATACAGAACTGAGAATGAAATGATCAGATCAAACATTTATTCAAAATCTATTAAGTGACAAGAATATAGGAGTAAGACATGATTTAATGTAGTTTATATTTTAACACACACACACACACACACACACACACACACACACAGCCAAGTGTGGTTGTACAGCACTGTAATCCCACCATTCTGGGAGGCTGAGGCAAAAGGACTACAAGTTCAAGCTCAGCCTGGACAACTTAATGACTTCTCAAGATTCTGTTTCACAGCCAGTTGTGGTGGCACACACCTGTAATCCCAGCACTCAAAAGGCTGAAGCAGGAGTATTGCTGCCAGTCAAGGCCAACTTGGACTACATAGTGAGTTCAAGGCCAGCATGAACTATACAGCCTGTCTCAAAATACCAAAAAAAAAAAAAAAAAACACCTATCTCAAAATAAAAACAAAAAAACAGCTGGAGATGTAGTCAACGCAAAGGTACTGGATTCAATCCCCAGTACCACCACCACCCCACCACCACCAAAAAAAAGTCAATAAGCTTATAGTCTAAGTGAAAGCACAAAAGCAGATAATTTGGGCTAGAAGTGTGACTTAGTGGTAGAACACTTGCTAAACATGCATGAATGGGCTGGGGATTTGGCTCAGTAGTTCTGCCTCATAAGTGCAAGGGCCCGAGTTCGATCCCCAGTACCATAAAAAATTAAAATTAAAATTAAAAAAACATGCATGAAGCCTTGAATTCAATTCTTGGCATCATCACCCCCTCCAAAAGAGGAAAAAAAAAAAAAACACAGGTAATTTCAATAGACCAAGGTGTTAAATTCAAGAAACAAGAGTTACATCCATATAAAATGACACTGGGGCCAGGCCTCAGTGGTTCTGTCACCTGCCTCGCAAGCGTAAGTCTCGAGTTTGGCCCCCAATATAAAAAATAAAATAAAGTAAAATAGAAAATAGAATGACACTGGGTTAGGGAAGGTTTCTAAAAGGAGGTCATTCCCACACTGAATTCTGATCAAGAATGAGTCAGATAAGCAGAGGCGGGAGTAGTGATTCAGGTAGAGAGAACAGTACACTCCAAGGCCCAGAAGCTCAGCATATGCATGGGGACGGGCAACACAGTGGTGCAAAGCCAGGACTACGGACTGAAGTTTTTGGAAAGTCAGCAGAAACAATTAAGGAAGGCAGTACAAATCCTGGTGAAGACCAGGGACTTCTTGGGAAATGACTGAGTGCTCTGGAAGGCCTCATACAGAAACAAAGGCAATCTAATGCAAGTTTAGAGAGAAGGGTGAGACTGGCCAAAGTAGACTGAAAAGGCCAGTGAAATGTGGTGCCCCAGAGAATGAAGTGGAACTTAGAGATGTCAATGCACAACAGACAGAGGTCAGAGGCTGAAAATAAGGGAAATAAGCACTCCCTTAGTGCTTGGGTAAAGGATCAGTAATGCAGCAAGACACAGTCTGAAAAGTAACGGGAAGAGTTTAGTGTTAGATATGTCACAGTACATGCAAGTACATCCTTGTGCCACTTTTCTCTGGGTCACTGGATGTTAAAATTTAACATCTGAAAAGAGGTGGTCAGTATTGGGAACTTTGTGACTGACTGCTCAAAGAGGCCAACTCTGTAAACGAACAAGTCCATTGCTGAAGCGTATGTAAGACCTTCAAATCCATCAAAAAGAGACATTTGGAGCCACAGGTTTTTAAATCAGTGTGTGAATACAATTCCCAACATAAGAAAATGTTACCTTTCTTCACACAAATGGAAACAATTCCTCCACCAACACAAGCTCTTTAGGATCTGCTACAGTTCTTACCCAAAGTGGATTCACATGGAAAATTAAGAAATAAAGTTTAAACAAAGGCATTTAGAAAAGAGGTGTCTTTTCAGAGGCCAAAGATTAGAACTATGGACTTTGGAACTTTGCAGACATGTCTCTTCCTTCAGGAAAAGACAAGACCTCAACATAGTAAAGGGTTCCTCTTCAGCCAGTATCTTGAGGCAGAACACAGGGTCCCTGGCCGCTGACCCCAAGGCCACTAGATAAGCAACACTGACCACCACTGACAGGGAAAACAAACTGCATGCGTGACTCAGCACAGCCACTCTCAGATGTCATTTCTTCCTAGGGAGGAAGCAGGACTCTAGACTAACAAATAAATATATCTTCAGGCACACATATTGGCTTTTTTGCCGGGCGTGGTGGCGCATGCCTGTAATCCCAGCACTTGGGAGGCTGAGGCAGGAGGATCACTGTGAGTTCGAGACCAGCCTGGGCTACATAGTAAGTTCCAGGTCAGTCTCAACTACATAGTGAGACCCTGTCTCAAAACAACAACAACAACAACAAAAAAAAATATTGGCTTTTTTGGTTGAAATGTGCAGACCTAGTCTGATCCTGATGAGAAAAAAACTAAGGTTTACAAAAGAAAAGGCCTGATTTTTCAATTTGAACAAAGCCTATACTGTGACCTAAAATTAGCAGTAAGAGAGCTACATTCATTCCAATTAGAAACACTTCAAAAGTGGATTACTGCTGATACTCTCCCAACCCAACCACAGAGACTGAAAGCAGAGAAAAGGTGCTAGCTCTGAAGTGGGGGAACAATAGCCTCCAGGTGATCACAGCTGTTCGACACTACTCATCTCTGGTAACTTCTTTTCCCACATAGGTTGGGTGAAAATACAGACATCGCATCAAGAGTAGTGACTGGTACAATTCATGGGAAACAAGACAGAGCCTTTTCCTGCTTCCAACGCTCTTGTATATGCCCCAGCACAGTCACTAGGTTGAGTGTTGGGTGGGGCAGGATTAGAGACCTCCTAGTCCATAGCTCCTAGGAGGTCACAGTATGCCAGTTGTAAAAAGTCACCAGGTGTGGTAGCATCCGAATCTATAGTCTGCTTCACACCTTCAACTTAACAGGCTGATGTGAAGCACTCCTCAGGAATGTAAGCATACTGGACAGTGCCAGTAGGGGTGAGCATTCAGCACTACTGTCCTCACAGGCCCTCTACAGAAACAGCAGGCCAAATGAGGCAGGGAGACTTCTTCAAAGCCACTAGACAGTGGCAGCAACACATGGTCCCAAGACTCCTGGTTTCCTATCCAGGGCTCCTTTCATCACACAGGAAAGACACATCAGAAGTGCCTAGGGCCAACAAAGCTACGGCCTCCCCTTCCCTACCCCACTGAGCAGGTACATCAACACAACTCTACAAAGCACCTTCTCTGAAGAGTCTTCAGAAATCTCAATTCCAACTATGATCTGGGTCTGCTGCTCACTACTCTACCCTAGACTGCCTTTAATTTCTACAGTGGTCAACCCCTTGAAAAAGGGGCCACTTCTCGGGTTTTAAGAACACCCTTGATACTTAAAAAATACCAATAAACTCAGGAAAAAAAAATACCTTTGGTACCTAGCAAAGTGCTGAGCTCATGGTACACATTCACTGTTGTCAACAATTAATAAAATGTGGTCTGCTCTTTGATTTCTATTTACTATGAGGCAATAACTCCAGAACCTCAGAAATTTTCAAGGGCCAAGAAGAGTGCAGATCAGTGGTTAAAGAAAAGCTCTTCTCTAGGCACCCATTAAAAATGTCCTCAAAAATGAATGAAGCCTGTTTGGGTATTACAGACTATCTCAACTCCAAAGTAAATTTGTCCACAAGCTTCCAGACCTAACTCCACTTCTAAGAAAAGCCAGGGACTCAGAAGCAATTTCCTGGCCACAGAGGCCAAATTTGTGAATGTCTCCCAGGAATAAACCATAGGCACATATCCCTCTCCAACACCAGCACGCAAGATTTTTCTCCACAGAAAAGCTTTACAACCTTTGGCCTACAAGTATCTCTATTTTGCTTCTATGTTTTAGAAGACTGTCTGCCAAAAATCAAGTAGGCAGAAATCTCTCAGTATTCCCAGAAATAAATAATTGCTAAGTGGTACTTCCAACTAT